TAGGTAGGTAGGTAGGTAGATAGATAGATAGATAGATAGATAGATAGATAGATAGATAGATAGATAGATAGATAGATAGATAGATAGATAGATAGATAGATAGGTAGCTAGGTAGATAGATAGATAGATAGATAGATAGATAGATAGATAGATAGATAGATAGATAGATAGATAGATAGATAGATAGATAGATAGATAGATAGGTACCTTTTTGTCTGTGTAAAGGCCTTGTCGCACTATAATGTTTTGGACAACATTTGTTGACTTGTGAAAAATTTTATTATGACTATTTTCCTCAGATCAGCTACATATTCGATTTATTTGTTATCATTATTCTATGTATAGAAACAAAAGAGGCTTCTAGTATTAGGGTTTCTTTTTATTCCATTTTTAGTGTTAGACAAACCTTTCATAAGTTGGATAAAATATTATAGGGTGACAGGGCCTTGTCTGTGTTTATATATGTGTTTATTTCAGATGCTTTTATGTAAATGTACCATTTTGCAGTATTTTGCTTACCTCACGGGATCCTGACTGAAACTATGAATATCTTGTGTGAAACCAAATTTCTACAAAAAGAAAACAGATGCACAGTTTAAGAGGTATTGACACATCAAGATAATTTTGTATTAAAAAAGTTAATTTTCTTAAGCGTTATAATGTATATTATTCACTCAAGCAGCAATGCTTTTAAATATCTGAATAGATAAAACCATAAAGTAAGAATAGCATACATCGTGTGCTCACCTGAACCAGATGCCTCTCAGTTGAAGCAAGCATCTAGCTGTGCTGCTTATATATGCTCAAGTGTGTCTACTCAGCACAAGCGTGTTGCTCAGTTTGGTGAAGTGCAGCATTCTCCTTACGTCTGCTTGACAGTGATTTCCATATTCCATATCCAGTGACAGACGTGTATTTTTATCATGCATCTATGCCATGTTTTTCAATAGTTAAAAAATATGTAAATCTTGAGTAAACTTCTTTTGCAATTACTAATAATGACCAAATGTTATAAGGTTATTGAAAAAAAATGTTTTATTCATAAATACATATAAAATGGCCTTTTATTTTAAGTAAAACTTTTAGTCAGCTTTAATATTTTAACATTTTGAGTAACTTCTTGTAACTAAAATAACATATTTTTTATGAAATTATATGAACCTCAATACAATGCTTGTTCTTGCACACTAATCACATCATTGTACAAATGATTAAATTATTATCGCTGAGCATGTAATTGGCTCATAAATATTTATTAGGTTTTTTATGTTCACAGTTTTTTTAAAACAACATAGCAAGACTACGCAGCATAGTTTGTAAAGTATTTGGTCCATTAAATGCTGTGATTTATTTAAGCTCAAATTTCAGTTGACAGTCTATGATAGGCACTTGGGTCCATTTAATTTTAATATCACAGCCAGTGCTGAGTCTTAAGGATAGACAAGTGTCAGAATGTCAGTGGCGTATAGTTACAGGGTGCACATGCTTCAGATATATGATATTCATTTCACACAAGGCTTTTTCCATTAGTGGGGAACAGGCAGTACGTGTTCCCTGGAAAAGAAACATAAGCAGAGTTTCCAATTCAAGCAGGACCATAAATAACAGGCAGCAAAAAAGTGCTTGGATGTAGCTTTTTTCTTATTTAGTTTTTCATTCAAACAAGTTAAATTAGTCTCTATTTAAGGCAAAATAAAATATTAGGACTTGTATTCATTGCAAATTTGTTGGCAAAGAGTAATTGTGTGTGTGTATTGCAAAAGTTGCAAAAAAGTAAAATCCTTTATGCAAAATTGTATACATACATTGGTTACATCAGAATAGTTTAAAATATTTTTTTCAGCTTAATAT